TTATAGGCGTGAGCCACTGGTGCCAAGCTTTAATAACTTTTAATTGTGTTCAGAGTAGAATTTCTAAAGCTCTGCTGAGAAGGCCCCAGCTTATTATAATTTGAGAACTTTGACATTATAGATGTATATTTCACAATATAAAATGTGGATATTGCTATTTATGTATAAAACAAAGTAAAGCAGAATTTGCATTCATGACATGGAAACTATATTTGACTATTATCTGTTAAAAAAGGAATAACCATAGTGTGTAAAAGTATTATCATTTTATGATATAATTTTTTAGTTTGCATATATATCCTCTTAGAGAAACAAGTTTTCATTGAAGATGGGTTTTATTTAGGAATGTCTACTGATAATAATAAGAAAAAAATTACTTTTACAAAAGTGGAACATTCTAACATTCAAACGATGTTGTATTATTTATTGCCTATTTTGCTTGTATTTTGTTTCATGTAAGAAGATACTGTTGTTTTTATTAGGAGACACTTAAGCCATCACTTGTCTATCTTAAAATTTGTTTTGTGAACAATAGCTTCAAATTTCAAGATAGCTTAAAGCTGAGGGCATTGCCCCAGTAATGGAACCAAAGGTGTAATCAAAACAGCACCCCTACTGATTAAAGCCATAACATAGACATCATTGAATTAACTTCTGACTACCCAATGAGCTGTAGTATCATTGTGAATGACTTTTGCAAGTAGAGCAGAGAAAAAGAAGGGGGAGGATGCTACTTGAGATGGAAAAGATGTTACACTTTCAGCTATTTGGAGAATGACTCCTGAAACTGGGAGCTATGGCTTAAGCCTGTATTCCTACTTGAGGCAGAGCTCAGGAGACCTCTGAGGCCAGCTGAGCTATAAAAATTCTCTTTTTGACAAGAAATGTACTTATTACCTTACTTGTGTAACTGTAACCCCTCAGTACCTCACCTTGACCAAAAAAAAAAAAACAACTAACTGCTAGATACGATGGTAGATGCCAGTTATTCTAACTACAGAGAAGCCCAATGCTGGAGCAGTACCACGTGCCTGTCATTCCCAGTAATGCTGAGAATCACAAATAGGAGGATTGCAGCTCAGACTAACCTGGGTTTAAATTGAGACCCTATCTCAAAAATAGCTAACCCAAAAAGGTACTGGATGTGTGGCCTATCAACCACAAAGCCCTAAATTCAGCCCCCAGGATTTCAAAACAGAAGACTTGATTATTCTAGACTTTTAAAGCAAGGAAAAAAATCAAAGAAGTGAAAGCTAGTTTTTTGGAGTTACCCAAAACAGATACAACAAGATCTTTTCTCTGCCAACAGAAACAGAAAAACAGCTTGGTTTGTGGAGGGAAAGTGATTAAGAAATGATTTTTTCCTTCGCAACTTTATTAGTATGTGTGAGCGCATGTGTGTGTGTGCATGCTTGCCAGGACTGGGGTTTGAAATGGTGTTCTCATACAATCACTTGGCATCCTATCACTTGAGCCACACCTCCACTTTTGGCTGTTTGATGGCTAATTAGAGATAAGAGTCTGGTCTTTGCTATGCAGACTAGGTTTTTTTTTTTTTTTTTGGCGGGGGGGGGGGGGGGGGGCAGGGGGGGGGCAGTCCTGGGCCGCTGACTCAAGGCCTAGACACTGTCTCTGAGCTTCTTCTGCTCAAGACTAGCACTCTACCACTTGATCCACAGCGCCACTTCTGGCTTTTTCTGCTTATGTGGTACTGAGGAATCAAACCCAGGGCTTCATGCATGCTAGGCAAGCACTCTACCACTACATTCCCAGACCTGTACAGGCTAGTTTTAAACCTCAGATTCCAGTCTCCTGAATAACTAGGATTTCAAGTGTGAGTGATGGATTGATTTCTCAGTAGTTTCCAAAGATGGAAGTTCAGTTCAGCTTGCCTATCAGGAACACTGACAGCATATTGATTATAGTATGTTTATAAGTAAATGTTCGATTAAGCACATTGAGTCCATGGATTGAACTAATGTTTATATGTAATCAGAAAGAAAAAGAAAAATTGTTTTTAAAATTGCAAACATATTATTAGAAACTTAACTAGATTTCTGAGAATTTTCTAAAGCAAAACTAAAAAAATCCCAAAAATCTTTCTGATCTGTTACTAGTCATAAAGTGTAGTCTAGAACTCTGCCAATACAAAATTTATCAGTCCTTTCTGTCTCTGTCTCTCTCATTCTCTGTTTCTTGGTCAATACACTGCTTCTCTTTTTAAAAAAATTAGTTTTAAAGTATCTTTAAATTTTTGTACAAAGGGGTTTTAATTCAGCACATTAATTTGTGATTACAATGCATCTTTTTTTTTTTTTCTTTTGGTCAGTTGTGGGGCCTGAACTCTGGGCTGTCCCTCAGAGGTTCAGCTCAAGGCTAGCACTCTACCACTTCAGCCACAGCACCACTTCCACTTTTTCTGCTTATGTGGTGCTGAGGAATTGAACCCAGGGCCTCATGTATGCAAGGCAAGCACTCTACTACTGAGCCACCTTCCCAGCCCTACAATGCATCTTTTGATCAGTGTCACCCATCCATCATTCTTTACCCCAATCTTAATCCTACCCATCCTCTCAATTTACCTGGTTCTGTTTTCACTTATGAATCTTGAGTATTAAGGCTATATGCACCTATCATTCTATCTCTCCCCCTTAAGCTCCATTCCCCTCCTCCCCAGATAAAACATGTTTCAGCTTGCTGGATTTTCTATTTAGGCTTTGAAGAACAAAAACAATTATTTACTGATCTAGATCAGACACCCAAGTTTGTGTCCTTTCTTTATTCTTCCATCTGTCAGTTTCTTTGTAAAAATACTTCAAAGATTCTCCCTGTAAGATCTAGTTACTGCTTAATTGAAGTGGGAAGACTACTCTTAAGCAGATCTTTTTTCTTTATAGAATGATGATAGAAAACATACTTGATATAATTTAAGTCCCTTTGGTTATTTTAAATTTTCTTTTTAAATAAAAGATACCACATTATTTCAGTAAAGAATATAGGGTTTGCCTGAGCACTGTGGTGGAAGCCTGCAGAAAAGTAGAGACTGGATTGCAAGGCCAGCTTAGGCAAATTTATATAGACCCTATTTCAAAACCAGAACAATAATAAAAGGGCTAGGGGTGTGACTCACGTAGCAGAGGCTTTTCCCTTAACTATGTGTGTGGAGGGAAGGGTAAACACAAGGACAGATTTGAGTCAGAGCTAAATGATCATTTTGTTTTTTCATTTATCTTATGTTAAAACTAAGTTACAGTATAGTCAGGGTCTTACTGTTTTTAACACAGAACACAATGATTCCCTTCACAAAGTAAATTATTTGTTGGATTTGAAACTAGGCTCTTCCCTTCTATATTCCAGGCAGGCAATTTGCTTTTCCACTGAACTACGTTTCCTGCCCTTAGTATGTTTTGAGTAGGTTTCTCAAACTCTTGATCCTCAGCCTTAGCCTCCCAAGTTCTGGAACTTCAGGTGTATACCACCATGACCATCTTCAGAGTAAATGGTTTTGTTTTGTTTTGTTTTAAAGCTTTACTAGGCTTTGAACTCAGGGCAATATGCTTGCTAATAAGCAGGTGCTCTAATGCTGAGCCACATCTCCAGTTCTTTTTTGCACCGCATATTTTTGTGTAGGATCTTGCTTCCTGCCCAGGTTTGTGTCTGGGCCATTCTCTGCCTATTTTAAGCTTTCCTTCACAACTAGAATAAACAGTTGTATGCCACCATATCCACCTATGAGTTAAGAAGGAGCTAATGGGAACTTTTCAGCCTGAGCTCCTTGAACTACAATCCCCTCATTCTTCCCAAGTGGCTAGGACTATAGACACTGATCCAAAGTAAGTTCTGTTTTTGTGATAGGAAGTTTAAAAAGACAACAAACCTTAATTATTTCTTGGAAGTTAAAAGATTTCCAAAGCTTGATCCTAGTGGCCCACACCTATAATCTTAGCTACTCAGGAGGCTGAGATCTGAGGATCCTGGTTTGAAGCCAGCCTGGGGAAGGAAACTCTGTGAGACTTTTATCTTGAATTAAGCACACAAAAGCCAGTTCAAAGTCAGTCTGGGTCTGTGCAGGAAAGTATATGAGACTCTTATCTCCAAACAAGAAGCTGAAAGTGGAGCTATGGTTCAAGTAGTAGAGTATTAGCCTTGAGCAAAAGAAGCTACGGGGCAGACCCAGGCCCAATTTCAACCCTACTACCAGTACTAGTACTAGCATAATACATAGAGAAAAAGAGAGAGAGGAAGAGAGAATGAGAGGATTTCCATGTGTTTTTTCCCTGCCAAATCCCTACAAAGTATGAAAAATAATGGTAGTACTAGATTTTCTTTGAAATAAATATGGAGACTGAAAAGTCACACTTGAGTTTATTATATAATATATCAACATTTTTGAATGATGTTTTTAAAACAACCACTTGCAAATCCACTTAATAATTTTATTCATTAATTCCTGTGTTGTACATTATTTTATTAGCTAGCTACTCCCTTTTTGGTATCTGATATTCTACTCAACTAACGGTATTTCTGGCACATGGAAACTAGGATCTTATTTGTCTAGAGTGTATGATATTTTGAGGAATGATTTGTAACAGATTTGGGGCCTGTTTTATTGATTTTCTACTTTAGCTTAGTAGTGCATTTGTATTATCCTTTTAATAAGCAAAAATATTTGATATTACACTAATGCACATATATTAACATAAATTTGACCTCACTTCATCGGTCAAATTGTCTTAATGAAAATTATTTACTTGAAACATTAATCCCAAAACTGAGCTTAATAAGATCCTACCACCATTCATTTTCATTTTTACAGTACTTTTATGTTTCTCTAATCATCTCATTCTGTAGGTTTTGGAGAATAAAAATTATAGCAGAAAATGCAAAATAAAAATTTCATAGACAAGCAGTTATTATAAATTTAAACTATAAGCGCTGAAACCAGATACGTCTCTTCTGTTTTTATAGTACAACTTTAAGTGTGTTTTTTTCCCTCCCAGGACATTTATTCAGAGCAGCTGGGGACCAACCGTTTAACCTGTCCACAGTGTCGAGTGCCTTCCCAATGGTCAGCCACCCAGTCTTTGGTCTACATTCAGCCAGCTCAGGGCATTCAGAATTTGGTGGTTTGGGGACACTTGGTACACCCACAGCCTTAGCCGCACATCCCCAACTAGCATCTTTTCCAGGTAAACATTATTACAGTGTTCAAGGAAAGGAGGAAAGCTTGAAAATGTTCAAGCAGTAATTTGTATATTAAAGTAAACAATAAAGGGATAGTCTAATGCTTGGTGTATTAAAACTCTTGTGTAAGAATTTTAATCACATACAAAAATATACAACACATTGTATTAGCAGCTCGGTATTCAGATATTTGACTAGATAAATAAATATTCTCCATGCAATGGAATAATAAAGCCAAGTTTTCCAATGCATTTTGTTTAAATATAGCAATCAGAAAAGTAAGTCCATGTTATATAAGTGTAGAGTTTGAGTTTTTTCAGGTTAATTTCAGTTTTTTAAAATATTAACTTGGCTGGGGCATGACTCAAGTGGTAGAGCACCTGCCTAGCATGGGTGAGGACTGAATTCAAATCTTCCCCTTCCCCCAAAAGCCAGGAGTAAAATGCAATTCATGTTACTTGTAGATGAACGTTCAAAGCACCATGTTTTATTATACTCAAATATCTTATCAGCAAATGAATAGGTAAATAAAATGTGGAAAATCTAAATACTAAGATATAATTCTAACATCTTGGCCTGTTTTCTCATCAGCAAAATGATAATAATATAAATACGAATAATAATAACATCAACACTAATAATACTTGCCTCCAGGGTGCTTGTGAAGATGTGGTCTACAGGGTCTGGCATACATAACTAGTCCATAATTGGTAGTTATCATTATTTTCTCTTGTCGACTTCGATGGTTAATAAATTACCAACTGCTTCTTTAAAAGGAAATGAGTGTCTGTTTAAAGTCAATGCGGAAAGGGTTGATGGTTAAATGTGTATCTTGGAAAGCCAAGCCTAAATATTTTCTTTAAAAATATTGATAGGAATTTATTTTATTCTGCTTTTTGCATCATTGTTTAACAAGATGAACATTCACAGATATTTCCTGAAGTAGAAGAATCCTAAATAAAAGTCAATGCAGGCATTAATAATAATAATAGTTCATTGTAGTACTGTTTTGACCATTTCTAAAACTGTAATACTGTATTACTAAAATGAAATACTTTCTGCACTAGACTAATAATTTAGCAAATATAAAAAATTATTTATCTGGGCTTTAGTAAATTTGATGCTTCCATAAAGTACATAATTTCCCCACCCTACATTCAGTATTAGGTTCAGTGCACTAGAACAGTTGTTTCAGAATATACTAACCATGTCGTTTATGTTGCTTTTCATTCTGGGAGGAAATACAAGCAAACAATTATAAGATGGAGTCTTTAGTGATAAAGAATATGGCTACATTAGCCAACTTCTTTGCCAAATGAACTGCAATATGCCTGGTTTTGAGAGGACTAGTGCAATAACTTGTTTAAATCTCTATAATTTACTTTATAAAGGGTAAGCAAATTGCCAATTTAAAAAATTGTAAATAAAGACACAGGAACACATTACTAGCATTTGTAAGCAAGGAATAATTTTTTTTGTCAGTCCTTGGGCTTGAACTCAGGCCCTGAGGCACTCTCCCTGAGCTTCTTTGGCTTAAGGTTACCTACCACTTGAGCCACAGCACCACTTCTGGCTTTTACTGTTTATGTGGTAGTGAGGTATCAAACCCAGGGCTTCATGCATGGTAAGCAAGTACTCTACCACTAAGCCACATTCCTAACCCCTAATTTGTTTTTAAATTTCATGCCCTTCCAAAGTATTATTCATCTCAGTTTAAACCAAGAAATAGAAAATTATTTAATAATAAATGTTTAATTTATATTGAAATAATATTTCATGGTAATTTCTTTTAAAATAATAGTTATTGATTGATGAACTTTAATGCTATAATACCATGAATTTTTATGATGTGTCTAGTTCTTACAACTGTGAATGTTTTTAAAATTCTACCTGATCAGAGTGGGATATGGTGGAGCATACTTATAATCCTAATGCTGGAGAGTCTGAGGCAGAGGATTGCAAGTTTGAGACTAGCCTGAGTACATAGTGAGTTCCAGGCCAGTTTGGACTACCTTCTGAGAACCTGTTTCAGAACAAAAAAAAAAATAATAATCTGTTAAATGTATGTTCCATTGAGATTCAATGTATTCTGAGAAATATTATAATCTTTCCAGTGAGAATGATTAATGTTGATATATGCTGTTATCTCTTTTGAATATGCTTAGAGATTCATCATGTACTGATTTGTATCATCCTTATTTTGCATTCTTCATTTTATCAACAAGCTAGTTTGTGATAACTTTGAGTTTTTATTTTCCTAAACTTGTAAGATAAGTAAACTTGTCACTTTGTAAAAATGTATCTCCTATGAAATAATATCAAACATTTGTAAAGTTTATCTTCAAAAGCTGAACAATGTTCAGCTCTTGATTTGATTCACTTGTTATGTACTTTCCTCTGTGGTGCCACCTTATTTATAACATTTTCCTATTATCTGTTCTAATTTCTACTGCTGACTTTTTTTTTTCCTAAACATAAGCCTTGATCAGGGCAAGGGCTCTGTCCCTGAGCTGTTTTGCTCAAGGTTTAGAGCTCTATCTCTTGAACCACAGCTCCACTTTTTTTGGGGGGGAAGGGACGGTGGTCATGGGGCCTGAACTGTGGGCCTGGGCGCTGTCCCTCTGCTCTTCAGCTCAAGGCCAGCGCTCTACCACTTGAGCCACAGTGCCACTTCTGGCTTTTTCTGCTTATGTGGTGCTGAGGAATCCCAGGGCCTCATGCATGCAAGGCAAGCATTCTACCACTGAGCCACCTCCCTAGCCTCACTTCCCACTTTTGATAGCTAATTGGAGATAAGAATTTCACAGGTTTCCTTCCTCAGATAGCTTCCAACCTCCATCCTCAAATCTCAGAATTATGAGTAGCTAGGTTACCGGTGTGGGCATGGGCTGGCTGGCTATCATTCTACTTTTTTACCCCCTATGAGCCTTGAACTTTACCTCCTATGAGCCTTGAACTCTGGGCCTGGGACTGTACCTGTTTTTGTGAGCCACAACTTCACTTCCAGTTTTCTGGTGGTTAATTGCAGATAAGAGTCTCAAGAGTCTCAAACTGACTTTGAACTGCAATCCTTATATCTCAGCCTACTGAGTAGCTAGGATTACAGGCATGAGCCACCAGTGCTCAGCCATCATTCCACTTTTAATAGCCAAATTTCAATACATGAAAAATTACAGATTTTGGAACTTATGGAATTAGCAAGTTGGATATTGATTCTAGGATTTTATTTAAGGCTATACAAAACTATTCAAATCTCTTCTTACTTTACCCTTCCTTGAAAAATGTATTCTATAAAAATTGACCCTTATCCTTGTTTGGTGGCAAATGCCTGTACATAACCCCATATATTTGGGAGCACACACACTCACACACTCACAAGCTGGCTTCCTTCATTATTAAAGTTTTAACTATGGAAATGAACTGTTGCTTGAATATCTGAAGAATATATATCAATGATTTTTTTCTACCACTTTTAGTTATTTTTGTTGATAAATTATTGTCATCTATAACTTATGTGGAAAATTATAAAAATAACTTTATTTTAATGGAAAAAACTTTACAAATTTTATATTTTAGTGTAAAATTATTTGTTTTTTAAATCTGCATTGAGAATTTATTTCTTAAGACAAAAATAGGTTTATTGATTTTGCTTTGTTTTTTTTTTTTTGTTTTTTTTTTTTTTTTTTTTTTTTTAATTTTATTTTATTTTATTTGAGAACATTGCTTTGTTTTTTGGTTCACTGTACAATGCTTTCTTCCATTCTACCAGAAGTCTGGTAGTATTGTGAAACGATATGGTTTATCAAAACCCTGGTGTAGTTAAGTTATATATAATTTGAAGAAACTCTCACATAAGTTGTAGATCTAAGCTTAAATTCGAAATCCTTAAAATAATATATAGACATCAATATTTTCCTTATCCCTTTAGAAAATATATATGTGTCATCAATGATTCCATTAGTTCTTTTAATATTGTTTTCTGTTTCATTTTTAAAACTATGGAATACCTTTTGTTCTTTTTAGCTTGAATCTAGAAAGCTGCAAAGTGAAGCTCCTTGAATCTGGCCTAATCAGAAGAACAATGAGGGTACCAGTTCAAATTAGCTGTTCCCAGCTAGAACGATGATGGGAACTATATGAACTGCATAATTCTTTTACAAGGAAAACTGGGGGGCAGGGGGAAACAATCATGAATGAAATGTAGAAAGCAGTAACTAAAATGAAGTAGAAAGGTCATTCAGATATTTTTCTCTGGCTGATTTGATTTTGAGGTGCGGAATGGTGGCGAACAGCAGACGTTCATACTCGTCCCGCGGCACCCTACTTCCCATCACTACTCGGAATTCCACCACTGTTTGCTCCTCCAGCCCAGAATCATGATTCTTCATTCCATTCAAGGACTTCAGGAAAAAGTAACCGAAATAGTCTTGAAAAAGGTACATAGTTAATATGAGTGAAGTACTATTAAATCTTCCATTCCAGTACTGATTTTCAGTATAGTTCAGGTTTAATAATTTTTTTTACAGCGTGTGCTACACAGCTTCACCATCTTGCTTAATTGTGATAGTAATTCTCTGAGATTAGAACTCGTCTTATTTTTTAGCCTTAGTTAAATAGGTTCTCAATACTGCTTAACTACTGATGTTCAGTCAGAATTAGAACCTATTGCCTTTTCCTGTGTAACTCATTTGTTTCCCTATTTTCAATATAACATAATATCAATATTTCTATATAATATAATATGCAATATAATAGCTATCTCATCTTTAATTTCAACTAATAGCCTAAATTTTGTTTTTAAGTAATACTAATATTTCTGCAATTGGTTACAATTATTTGAATGTCATTTGAAAATTATAATAGTATTTAAGGTGATTTTTTTAACTTTAGTGTTTTGGGAAGTTAACTTTAAAAAGGAAATAATTTACTTTTTTGGTGTTTCTAAACTTTTTTCATTAAAGTAACATTCATATAAATTAATATCAGGCTTCCTAAAGTGAATAATTCAGTGCTACTTTCTGAATTTACAGCAATATAAAGTCAATATCTCTCTTACTGTAAAACATTACCTAACTTTAAAAAAAAAATCCCCCTCACCATTAAACACCTGTTCTCTCAAGCCCTATTCATCAAGCCCCTGCCAACTTCTACTTTGCACACTGTCTCTATAGACTCAACTACTTCCGTTCTAGCTTCTTCCATTCACAAGGCTCTTGAGTTTAACCTACATTGTACACTTATCAGTACATAATTCCTTTTTATGAGCAAACTATTCCATTATGTAAACACAATTATTTTTGTCTTCAAGGTATAAATGGTTCAGTTAATGGAAACAGTACATCATCTGTAATTGGTGTCAACACATCTGTACTAGCCACTACTGCTTCAAGTTCCATGGGACAGACTAAAGGTACCAGTTCAGGTGGTGGAAATCTAAAATGTAATCAGGAACAAAGCAAAAGTCAGCCTTTGGATGGTAGGGCTGACAAAATCAAAGATAAGGTAAGTTATTCTTTGAAGAACAAATATATAATGTATATGTATAATTTAAACATTTTAAAGCTCAAATCACCATAACCTATAAATTCATTTACTAGCAAGTTTCTGATTTGTAGATGTATATTTTTATGGCACACTACTAATATTCTAAATCTTGACCACTTAAAACTAATAAAAACAGTGATGGTAAGTTAAAAGTAATCAGATATTGATCCCCTGGCTTTGTGTATGGTGCTATACCACTGAACTACACTCCTAGCCCCAATAGGTAGGTGGATTGAGAGCTTAGTAGCTACCGCTCTGCTCTACATGCTTTGTGTAACATCTTTCAGTTTTTCCAGCATTCTAAATGAGAAATGAAAATAAGAGGAAATAACACCAAAATAATTTGCAAATGGCTGAGTGGGGATTTGAAACCAAACAAGTTGACAGTAGAGCCTGTGAACTTCGGAGAAAACCAAACTAAACAAAAAAAGATGAAAATCATTTATTATGGAAAATTTCAAATGACATAGAATAATCCTCTGTACTTTTCTTCTTGGTTCAGCATTTTCTTTTAGCTACAGATGCCAATGGTGGCTCTCTGCTAGTGGTGGTGAAGAGAGCCTGTAGTGGTCAGGGTCTTAGTGGTACCCACCCTTCTAGTGAGCTTCAACTGGCATCCCAGTAAGCAGCTTCTAAATAAAACTTGATGGGAAACTACTGGGGTACTTTTCTAGCTAATTGTATTGCAGCTGACAGGTTCCTAGCCCAAGTTTTTCTTGGTTTTTCCTGTCTTTTATGCCAGCCTTGATCTGTCATACCTCAATGAGCCTCTCTACCATCCACCAAGCCGTAATCATATCCTCTCCAATGAAACCTGAAGCTCAGCCTTTGAGTGAGTTGGAGTTGGAGGAAAGAGGCCATTTTCCAAGATGGTCTTTATTTTGGTACTCTATCTCAGCCCTATAGAAAACCAGCTGTTTTCTGTTTCTACTATTCCTGTATTTTTTAAGAAGAGATTTCTTCATCTTTGTTAGCAATTGACCTTTTATTGCTGGTTTTTCCCTTTTCTTTTTTCCTCCCACTTGCTTGCTTGCTTGCTTGCTTGCTTTTCGTTTCTTCCTTTCTTTTTTTTTGACAAGGTCTCACTGTGTAGCTCAAACTGGTCCAGAATTTGTGATCCTCCTTCCTCAGTCTTATGATTACTGAGATTACAGGATTATACCACCACACCCTGACTAGTTATTGACATTTTCTTATTTTCTTCCTTCAAACTAAATCTTTTCTGTTGTAGAAGGATAACAACTGTGAAGTTAGTGTATAATCACACATGGTAAATTCATACAAGTATTCTCATCATTCCAAACTTGGGATTCTTTTCTGCACTTTCTTCCAGGGCAGCCCTAACATCTTTCAGTTTTATAAATGAAGTCCACTATTAAGTCCAGGTTTCATTTATCCACATGGAGCCATCTCCGGCAATCTATCTTAATTAACATTTATAAATTAAATCACTCACTTCAGTGAAGCTGGTCTGCTTTTATTTATAGTTTATTCTTGAGTGAGAGGCCTTGGTTTATTTTGCTTAAGCCTTGGCATCACTGAAAACATTTTAAAAACAAAGACAATAGAAGTATATAGAGAGTTTGGGGACTGGGAAAGAGAAACAGACTGTTGGTGGATATTCGCGGAGGGGATTGGGCTCATTCTTTGCTTCAATGAAGATATAACATTGAAACATGTTGAAATTGTTTGGGAAAGGGAGAAGGGAAGAAGAAAGAGTGCAAAGTGGTGAAATTAGATTATATTGAAATGAAATACTTCTCCCCCCATAACTAATTATAAGCTAATAAGAAAAAATGAGTTCTATCTTCTGTACTTTTTCACACCCTGCTTCCAGTGCTGGAAGACAGTCAAAAGGTTGTGACTATCTATTGTCTGGGCAGTAGAATCAAAGTCAGCAGGAAGCTTCTGTTACCCACAACAGGAATAGCAAGATATGGGTTAGCCACTGATTACAAATGGCATTGTTCTAAACTTGCCTCGTAGGTTTCAGTTTTTAATCCTAAGAAATTATTTTATCAAAGTTTTCTGGGCTCAGTGGTGTAGAGCCTTTGCTGCCTAATGTGCATGGAACTCTGGATTTGATCACCAGCAGGAAAAAAAGCAAGGATTTCTTTCTTTTCACTGAGCATATCTCGTAGAGATACTTCCTTCAGATCTCTGTTTTCTTCTCAGTAGAAAATTGTTATTTTCCAGGATGTAGTACACTTATCTGAGTGCTTGGGGGAGGAGGTTTACTGGTACCCATCATAAAAGCACCATAGTACTGTACTTAGGTCCCAAAACAAACATTTTCTTTCTCCTTTAAAATACCACTGACCACTGAGCAAACATGATAAAAGACTTAGGCTGTTTCCTCCCAGGGACACAGGTTTCAGGGTCTGATTCCACCTGTTGCTCTTAACTGCTCTCAGTTCTCTTGTTTCAAAGCATTCTCATTAGTGTAGGTAACAAGGGCCTATCTCTGAGCTGTGCCAGCTTCTCTCCATGCCAGACACTGAATGAAGAAATAGCACCTGTTCTTGATTCTCATGCTACTTTAAAGCAAATCTCATGTATCTTGTTTGTATTTCTAAAAGCTGAGTGTCTATGCTTCTAAACTTGGTACTATCCTACCTCTTGGAAATAGTGCTAAAATCTAAAGTCTAAACTCTTAAATGTCTTGTGCTCCCAAAAATTCACAGTATGTCAGGAAGAATAAATATGAAAGAACCCCTATCTTTAATACTAATGAATAAGCTACATTAACATTCCTAATCAGAACTCACACTGTTAAAATAAAAACTGTTATCAGGAGCATGTGTTAAACTTACAAAGGCCTCGCCTTAATAGAGGTATTCTGAGATCACACACTAGTGTCTATAGTGTCTACAGTGAAAGTAACACAAATGAGACATTGGCTATTAGGGGAAAGTTTGATCTTAGAATTCAGAGACACAGGGGGGTGGGGGGAGGATGGGAAGGGTGGGAAGGGGAAACAGAGGAGGAGGCTACAATGCTTGATAAGAAATGTACTCATTATCTTGCCCATGTAATTGTAACTCCTCTGTACAGCATTTTCACAATAAAAAAAGAATTCAGAGACAATTTAATCTTAAATATGATTTGGTGTCATCCTAATCACTGTAGCCTAATGTATGGTCTGGCATGAGTTGGAGGTGATGAGTTGTTTAGAAAGTAAAATGGATATGGAAGACAATGGAACTGAGAAAACAATCCTATACTTTTTACTCAGAATTTTTCAGTTTAAAAAGTTTAAAAATTCTTTGTTAGGGGCTGGGAAAGTGGCTCAGTGGTAGAGTGCTTACCTTGCATGCATGGGGCCCTGGGTTCAATTCCTCAGCACCACATAAGCAGAAAAAGCTGGAAGTGGCACTATGGCTCATGTGGTAGAGCGCCAATCTTGAGCTGAAGAGCTCAGGGACAGTGCCCAGGCCCTGAGTTCAGGCCCCACAACCAGAAAAAAATTCTTTGTTAGCTCTCATACATAGTTTGAAAAAGAAAGTTCTTCAGCTAATTTTGATATCCTTCCCAGAAGATGGAGCCCTTCACTGAGGAATCCTCATTGGAAGATTCCCTGATATAGTCTGCATCTGTATTTAGGAAAAGCATAGATTTTAAAAAAAAAATTAAGTTGAAATTTTGCCCATTTTGTTTTGATGTTATTTTTTTTGTGTGTTTCAATGTCTAGATTGGGGTTTAAAACTAAGATGTAATGTTTACTAGGCAAGTACCCTATCTCTTTAGCTGTGCTTCCAGTCCTTTTGCACTGGTGTGTGTGTGTGTGTGTGTGTGTGTGTGTGTGTGTGTGTGTGTGTGTGAGAGAGAGAGAGAGAGAGAGAGAGAGAGAGAGAGAGAGAGAGTGTAGTTCTAGGGCTCAAACTCAGGGGCTTTTATGCTCAAGGCTAGTGTTCTACTACTTAAGCCTCAGCTCCACTTCTGGCTTTTTGATGGTTAATTGGAAATAAGAGTCTCCTGAACTTTCTTGCCTGGTCTGGCTTTGAACCATGATTCTTAGAACTCAGCTTCCTAAATTACAAGGATTACAGGTATGAGCCATCAGCACCTGGTTCATTCTAATTACTTCTGATATAATACCTTACTTTTCTCCTAGATTGTCATGGCCCATGACCCTTCATTTACACTTCTTACTATAGCTGTGATGGTAGGCACATGCCACTCTACCTAACCTTTTTTTTTTTATCTCAATGAGTGTCTCATGAATGTTTTTGACTGGGCTGGCCTACAGCTAGGATCTTTCCAGTCTCATTCTCCTGCTTTGCTGGGATAACAGTCACATGTCATCACACCCCAGTTATTGTTTGTGATAGTATTTCACAAACTTTTTACTTGGGCTGAGCCTGAACTGTACTCCTCCCATGCTTAACTTCATAAATATCTGGGATTACAAGTATAAGCTACCAGGCCCAGTTCATATAATCTTTTTGTTGTTGTTGTTGTTGGTTGTGGGGCTTAAACTCAGGGCCTGGGTGCTGTTCCTGGTTCTTCAGCTCAAGGCTAGTGCTTTACCACTTGAGCCATAGTGTCACTTCTGGCCTTTTCTGTTTATGTGGTACTGAGACATTGATCCTAGGGCCTCATGCATGAGAGGCAAGCACTCTACTGCTGAGCCACCTTCCCAGCCCCATATAATCAATTTTGAAAAAGAATAAAACAATGTAGGCTGAATGAGTTCAATTTTTGCTGCTATATAAAGTATGTTTTCCATGCAACCAAAGAAGCCTATCAAAAGTAAGTATGATTGTTTATAGGCAAAAATAGCATATGTAAGAGAGTAAGAAATGTTAAAGCTGCTATGGAAAATAGTATGGTAATTCTCAAAAAATAGAAAATACAATTATGTTATGATTCAGCAATCCCACTGTGGAAATATATCCCAGAAAATTTAAATTTGTGACTCAAAAAGACATCTTCACATGATCATTATTACAGCACATAAAAATGTATGATTCTGTTTCTATGAGATACTTAGAATAGTTACAATTTGATGTGGAAGTGGAATGGTGGTAACAGGGGTGAGATTTGGGGGAGGAAACAGATGCAAGTTAGAGTTTAATGTGTATAGTTTCAGTTTTACAAAGAAAAGAGTTCTGAAATTATGTTCTCATCACTGCAAAATATTCTATATGCATGTAATACTAACGAACTTGCACACATAAAATATCCAGTTAAGACTGCAAATTTTGTGTGTATTTACCACAGAAAAAATTTGGAGGAAAATCTTGTTATCAGTCTCTCTAGTTCTTTCCCACTTGACTTTTCTTTCTCTCTTTATTAAGAGCTATATGATTGGAGCTCTTCCAGTTCACCCTTATCATTCTTCTATGGTTCACTATGGTCCAACTGGTCTGGTTGACTTTCTGTTTTTGAGAATGCCCCCAATGGCATTATCTTCTCAGCTTATGGCTTTCTTCTGCTATTTCTCTTCTATTGAAATGCTCTTAAAGTGGGATTAGTGCTCACCCTCCGTTAGGTCTCTGCTCAGAAATGTTACCTTCCTCAAACCATCCCCACTCACTAGATTTTATTATCTAGTTTTCTGGTTTATATGTGGTATTTGCCATTCAACACATTTACATCACTGTTCACTTCCTTTTCCTAGAAGAGTGGGGTTTTTTGTTGTTTTGTTTTGTTTTTACTATTTCTCATACCTTGCATCTCCAGAAACTTGGGTTTGTTTTGTTATTGAAGGAAGAAAGTATACAGTGAGATTAAAGTTCAAGGAGAGGCCTCTGAGAAGCTTTTGGAGATTAGATGTAAGGAAATTAATAAGCTTTTCTTTGATCATTTTTATAAACCTAAGAAGATCCTTTTTTAAAATGTTTTAAGTGAGAAGAAAGAGACATGCTATCTAATTATGTGTAAATCTCTAGTCTCTCTTTTCCTCCTCCTCTTCCCCTCCCCTCCCTCCTTTTCTCCTACCTCCCTCTCCCTTCCCCTCCACTCCCCTTTCCTCCCCTCCACTCTCCCTCTGACTTTGAAAGTGAAACTGATGATGATATCCAAACACACACACCACACACACACCAGCTTTTTTTTTTCTAATATTGATACTTGCTTCTTCATTATCTTAGAGAACCTTTGCACACGATTAACATATGCTTTCCTGAAACCACCTGCGGCAGAATCACAGTGCTGATGAACCCATGTGCCTTGTTCAGAAATGGGACATAGTTCTCTATTGTTCACAAAAATTTACTCACCCTAAAGCTTAAGAATCAGCACATCTTCTGTATACAGTATTTTCACAATAAAAAACATATATATGTTAAAAAAAAAAAAAAAACAAATCATCACATCTTGTCCCATTCCATGGGTGTTTGAGACCCATTTCCCATGCTATATTTAAATACAAATTATACACAAATTTCTTGGGCATTGAAATTGTTTTTTTCTATGAAATCACTATAGCTTCCTGATACTTTCATTTTCTTTCTAAGCCCTCCTATACCAAAATAATAACTTCAGTTTTGATTCCTTATGATTTTCATAGTCTTGGTGAGTTCACAAAAATACAATGCAAGTAATGAGAGTTGTTTTTTTTGCCAAATAAATGCTAGGCTTATTATTAATGCTTTCCCTTTAATCTCTACTTTATGGTCTGTAGTTGCTATTTCACATTACTTTAAGTTTGTTTCTCATCCCTCTGAGGGAAGAGCTAGATGCTGGAAAGACAGTGACTATTAGGGTATGCCTGTGGAAGAGGTATTAGGATAGTTAGCTGGGAGCAATTAATAGAGTCATTAAATACAAAATAACAGTAAGTTACTCTACTCACTCATATGAATTTTATTTCAATATATAGAAGCATTAAAAAAAAGTATAGATTTGTAGTCTGTAAGTATGGCTTTGAATTTTCTTCCTATGGGAGAGATGAATTACTGTTTTCCCCCAAATCCTGGTAGTTATGAAAAATTGTATTTCAGTGAAGATCAGACTTTTGTTAATTTATAGTGTCTTTTTTTTTTTTTTTGGTATCTTTTGCTTCACCTGTCAGCAAATGCCATTTAGATGGTCCCAAATACCTATAGATTAATTGTATTAATCTTGTTGTGTTATCATGTAAGTATTTCTCCTTTTCAGTATTCTTGCTTTTCTAAATTGTTATATAGCTGTTTAATGCATGATCTTCCTTTGTATTTATTTTTTACTATTGTCTGTGTTGAAATACCGAACTTCCTTTTTTAGTAACCTACTATCCCTTTCTATCAGCTTTGGATTGTTTTTATCACAATAGTCTTAAATTTTCCAGACATAAATCTCATCTATTGTATTTTTGTTTCTCTCTGTGAAATATTAAAAATCAAATATAATGCTAACTAAAACAGCCCCATATGACTGTTATTAACTGTTTTAACTTCCCTATAGCACTTATTACTATATGCAAATACTTGCTTATATAATGAGCATCTGTTTACTCCTCTTCTAAATAGAATGGAAGTTTCTTGAAAGCAAGGGCAGCCCTTTATACATAGTTAAATCCAAGTATCTAAAAAGCCAAGTATCTAAAAAGATACCTTTTTAGAAAGGTATCTTGATCATAGGTGATTATTCACTATAGGTGACTATTCACTATTCACAGAAAGAAGACAAAGCTAAATATATTTATTTGACATTTTTATTATAATTGTAATGGTTATTTGGGGAACTGTTCTTAATGTCATACATTTTGAAGCAAAACATATATACTATATTGATAGTTTCAATATTCTACATATCACAGAGCTTATAGGTTTTTTTTGTTTTTGTTTTTGTCGTGTTGGGGCTTGAACTCTGGGCTTGGGCGCTGTCCTTCTGCTCTTCAGCTCAAGGCGAGCGCTCTACTGCTTGAGCCACAGTGCCACTTCCGGTTTCTGAGTGGTTTATTGGAGATAAGAGTCTCACTTGGACTGGCCAGCCTGGGCTGGCTTTGAACCTCGATCCTCAGATCTCAGCCTTCTGAGTAGCTAGGATTACAGGCGTGAGCCACTGGCGCCTGGCTAGAGCTTGCAGTTGTTATTACTGAATTCCAAGTTAATTTGATCAGCTTGTTAAATACCATTATAATATTGGACTTTTTCCTGAAATAATAGTTTAGTGTTAGAAATACCACCTGAATATTAAAAGAGCATATCTTTTACTGAAACTGGAAGTTTTTAAATAATGTCTATCAAATATTATCTCTTTTTCCAGAAACCAAGGAAGAAAGCTATGGAAAGTTCTAGCAACACTGATAGTGATTCAGGCACATCTTCAGATACCTCAAGTGAAGGTATTAGTAGCAGTGATTCAGATGATCTAGAAGAAGATGAAGAGGAGGAGGATCAAAGTATTGAAGAAAGTGAAGAGGATGATTCTGATTCAGAGAATGAAGCACAACATAAAAGTAACAACCAGGTATTCTTTATTTCATGGATAGAAGTCAGGCAATTACAAGATCATCTTAATTCTCAAGATCTGAAGTTTTAGTTAATCACATTAGGTTCTTACTTTGGTACATAATAGAATAGAAGATGGAGAACCTTTTTTTCCTGCTTTGAATTTTTAAAAATTATTATTACAATGGTCATGTACAGAGGGATTACAGTTACATAAGTCAAGTAAAGAGTACATTTCTTTGTGAACAGTGACACTCCTTACCTCTCTCTCTCCCAGTTTTTCCCTCCCATCCCTACCTACAATTTCTAAAGTTCATTTTCAAAGTAGTGTCCAGTGAGTATCATTGCTGAATTTGTTTACCCTTTGCCTCTCTGTTTCTACGTCAGCATAGTGAGCTTTATATTTCATCTGTCTTAAGTCATGAGAAATGCCTTTTTTTGGGGGGGGGTGTCTGGTCGTGGGGCCTGAACTCTGGGCCTGGGCGCTGTCCCTCAGCTCTTCAGCTCAAGGCTAGCGTTCTACCACTTGAGCCACAGCACCACTTCTGGCTTTTTTCTTTTTGCTTATGTGGTGCTGAGGAGTCAAACCCAAGGCCTCATGCATGCAAGGCAAGCGCTCTACCACTGAGCCACCTTCCCATCCCATGAGGAATGCTTTTTAAAGTAACTTTTCACATTTCACTACTTGATGATCTTGATAGATGTTAAGAAGTTAAGATCTTACATCTTATTTCCAGGTGCTATTACATGGTGTTTCAGACCCAAAAGCAGATGGACAGAAAGCAACTGAAAAAGCCCAGGAAAAAAGAACACACCAGCCATTACCTCTAGTGTCTGAATCCCAGACTCACTCATCATTCCAATCCCAGCAGAAGCAGCCTCAGGTTTTGTCACAGCAGCTTCCATTTATTTTCCAAAGCTCTCAGGCAAAGGAGGAATCTGTGAACAAACACACCAGTGTAATACAGTCTACGGGATTGGTGTCTAATGTGAAACCTTTATCTTTGGTAAACCAAGCCAAAAAGGAAATTTACAGGAAACTTATAGTTCCTTCTCCTGATGTACATAAAGCAGGGAATAAAAATACCTCTGAAGAAACTAATTCTTTGACCAGTGAATTGCGATCCAAACGGGTGAGTTTAAAAAAAATTTTTTTTCTAGAAAAAATCAGAGTGGAACTTGATATGTAGCTTAGTGGTAGCATACACTTACCATGGGTTCAATTCCTAGCACCAATGGAATAATTAATTTTTATATACTTTTGGGGTGACACTACCACTTATATCAAAAAGGATATCAAAATGGACCCCCTGTATCAAAAAGGACAATATGTACAGTTTAAAAGATTTTAGCCCTAGGATAAAGTGTGGTAGACATAAATATGGGAGACGATATTGTTTAGAATTTTAGTGATGAAGGAATCTGATGCCAGTGGCCCACGTCGGTAATCCTAGTTTCTCGGGAGGCTGTTCTGGAGGTCTGTGGTTTGAAACCTGCCTCTGCGGAAAAAAAACCTATAAGAATTAAGATAAGCTTGTACAATAATTAGAAAACATCAGGTTGGAGGCATGGTTTCAAGTGGTAGAACACCAGCAGAGCAAGCAAGTAGAGCAATTGCAAAGTCCTGAGTTCAAACACTTGTACTAGAGGTTGGGAGGAAAACTCTGATTTTCTTTGCTTTACCTCCTACATATTTAGAAGTAAAATGCACTGCCTGTTAAAAAAAAAGAGTAGCCAGGCCCTGGTGGTTCATGCCTGTAATCCTAGCTACTCAGGAGGCTGAGATCTGAGGATCGCAGTTCAAAGCCAGCCCGGGCAAGAAAGTCCATGAGACTCTTATCTCCAATAAACCACTAGAAAACCAGAAGTGGCACTGTGGCTTAAGTGGTAGAGCACTTGCTGTGGCAGGAAGTTCCCAAGACTCTATCTACAGTTAACTAGAAAAAAGTAGAATGAAGGCCTGGCTCCAGTGAAGTAGTAACATGAAGCCAAGCAAGCATGAGATCCTCAGTTCAAAGGCTAGTACCATCAAAATTAATTAATTAATTATAAAAAGGAAAGAAAGAAAGGAAGGAAGGAAAAAATTCCTCTGAAAATGTAATTCCAAATATTTATTGTGTTAGGAAACACAACTTCACTTGTGTTGACTTAAAATACCTTCATAATTCTAATTCATGTCTGGGGAGTGTGGCTCAAGCAGTAAAGCACTTGCCTAGTAAGCACGAGGCCCTGAGTTCAAATCACAGTACCACAAAACCAAAATAACATAAATTATACTAAAGTAATAACTTTTCTAGCTTTATTTTTACAAAGAGCAAAATATAATTTGTTTCTAATTTCAAGATGTAAATTTATGGCACGACCTAATCTTTCTCAGGAAATCTGTTATTTTTCTCTACTGCTTACATTATCAAATGTTACTATAGTAAAGGCTTTTGAAAATAAGCCCCATAGAATGGTGAGCCACCACTTGTACTAGCTTACTTTTTTATTGTTGTTGTAGTGTTTTCTGTTTTGTTTTGCTTTAGGGATTGAACCCAGGGACCTTGTGCTTGCTAGGCAAGTGCTCTATCATTGAGTATCACCCAAGCTACTACATCTTAAGTCTCTACTTCAAAGAAATATTTTTTGAGTACATTCCAAGAGCAGTTTTTTTAAGTACTGTTTGGGGAAGGCTATAAATGTTGGTGTTTCTGCTCTAAGAAATTTGTTTTAAAATGTAAATTTATCTCCTTAGAGACTAAAGGCATTCATATATAAGGAGTATGTCATGCAATAAGAAGGTAATGGAGCTCAGAGGACAGAGGCAAAGAGTGCTTTGGGGTTCATCTTAATGAATAAGCAGTATTTTATCAGTTACAAATTTAGAAAATGAGGATATTTCATACAGACAAAATAGTTTCAGCAAAATGCAGAAGCAGTGTAAATATGAGATGCCCTAGCTTTGACAAATAGACCCAGGTCACCTGGAAAGGTATGATAGTGCCTAATAATAGAGTAATTTGAATAGTAAGGTGTATAATTTATATAGTTTCACTGCTCTAAGAAGCTAATATAATAATAAGGTTTAATCATACATAGAACTGACATTGGTATACCACATATTGTTAGTAGATTAGGTAAACTTACGGCATTGTTTAGATTTGAACAATATATGTATCATATATAGACTTTAGTATTACTCATGATTGAACTCAGGACTTCTTACTGGTGGGTGCTCTAATACTGAAGCATGCCTCTAGCCCTCTTTGGCATCTTCCTGAGTGAATGGGCACCTGTGTTTACTTCCCATGAAGCCAGGATGACAGGTGCATGCCACTATGTCAAGCTAGTGTTTAAGAAGATGTCTTGCAAACTTTTTTGCCCAGGCTGGCCTTCAACTGTGATCCTCTCTATCTCAAACTCTGAAGAAGCTAGAATTACAATCATGAGCCACTGGTGCCTGGCAAATTAGAGCAATGTTTTAATGAAAGGAACAGAAGCCATGATAAGAGACCAACATAATTAAAAAGAAGAAGAAAGCAAACAAAACCTGAAAGATACTCTTAGAGTTTCAGATATATATTATTTTTAGAGTGCGAAAAATAGTATAGATAGGGGAGGGCTATACATTTTGAATGGGACAAATTAATTCTATCTTTAAATATGTTAAATCTAGTCAGCTCCAACAGTCAACCAGTCACTGCTGTCATTCCTTTTACAGACCTTGTGTATCGTGATTTAAATCTGAATGTGAGCAGCTGTTTTTGGTTTTGAAAACACATAAAAGCAATCTTTATTTTATGCCACATTTCGTTTTGTTCTTTAAACTTATGTTTCAACAGGAACAATATAAGCAGACATTCCCGTCACAGTTAAAGAAACAGGAGTCATCCAAGAGCCTGAAGAAGGTTATTGCAGCTTTGTCAAACCCAAAAGCAACCTCTAGCTCACCAGCACATCCAAAACAAACACTAGAAAACAACCACCCTAATCCATTCTTGACAAATGCACTTTTAGGTAACCACCAACCAAATGGAGTTATTCAAAGTGTCATTCAAGAAGCTCCTCTAGCACTTACTACCAAATCTAAAGTTCAGAGTAAACTTAATGAAAACATTGCTACAGCAAGCAACACCCCCTTTTCTTCACCTGTGAATCTGAGTACAAGTGGAAGAAGAACACCTGGCAATCAGACCCCTGTAATGCCCTCTGCCTCTCCTGTACTCCATAGTCAAGGGAAGGAGAAAGCAACGAGCAATAACACAAACACATTAAAAACACAACATCACTCTCATCCTGCAAAGTCTCTGGTGGAACAATTCAGAGGAACAGATTCAGATATTCCTAGCAGTAAAGATTCAGAAGATTCAAATGAGGATGAAGAGGAAGATGATGAAGAAGATGAAGAAGATGATGAAGATGATGAATCTGATGACAGCCCATCAGGTTATTTTTCATTTTAAATTTTAAAGCATGTCTCTAAATGTTATGTGGGCTAAACATCTTAAAGACTTTAATCCACAGATTTAGAATGATTGTCATTCATTGTTTCACATAACTATTTACATTTCTGTAATAATAAAAAATGGTATAACGGTAATGGATATTGAAATTTTAAGTTGATTCTTAGTTTATTCATCTGTATTAGATAAATAGTTTAGGAGTATAATGATATATGAGTTAAATACTTTTATCAACTTACGTAAGCTTCATTTCATTCAAGACCCACATATTCCCCCACAAACACCTTTTCCATCTCTTTTGGTACTTGTTCAAACGTGTCAGCACACAATGTTAAACCTAAATCACTGGCTTAAAATCAGTGTTAAACCAAAGTTATCTTTGGTCTTGATCATTCAAAAAGTACTCAAAAATTTAATACATCAGTAACATAGAATTTATAAGCAACACAGTGGGTTATAGATTAATTCCTTGGTTTAATTTTACTTTCTGGATTTTTTTAAGGTAGAATTGTTTTGACATAAAATACAGGATACCTTAAATTTTAAATATGGGCAAATACAAAGTTTGTGAATCTGTTACTCATCAGCTACAAATTTCCATTTTTTCATGTAAATAGGAAAATTTGGTCAATTATATAATTTACAATTAAAAATAAACTAGTACTCAAAGTAATAACAATTCTTCTAGATAATATTCTGAGTATTATGCATGATAGGTACTGAGATTCAGTATTCATAGCTTTTAAAAATTAACTTTTATATTGAATCTCCTTATACGAAGGTGGTACCACACTATAGCAGTGCTGTCCTATACATCTAAAGTTAATCACGTCATATAGCTGGCATATCTAGCTAGGAGTGAGTGCATTCATTTTATATATATGACAATCTAAAATCATTGAAAACTTCTTCTGTTGTACCATAATTATTTCTGTAATATGTGTGTGTGTGTGTGTGTGTGTGCGCTTATGTGTGTGTTGTATGTGTCTATGTGAAGTCTGAGAGGATTGAATGAAGTCTTGTGCCTAAATAAAACAATTATGAGGGAGGGGGAGGAAACCAAAACAAACCAAAATTTCCTCTAGAAAAATTCTTTTTATTTCAGATCCCAAATATGAAAGGCTAGGGGTAATTCCAGTATGACCTACCTTAGTATTCTTCACAGTCCATACGAGTCTAGAGAGATGATTACAGTCTCTCTTTTAAGTTAGTTTTCTTAGTTTAAAAATTAAACTTCAACCAGGTACCCGTGGCTCCTGCCTGTAATCCTAGCTACTCAGGAGGCTGGGAGCCAGCTGAGGCAGGAAAATCCATGAGACTCTTATCTCCAGTTAACCACTAGAAAATGGAAAGTGACGCTGTGGCTCACGTAGTAGAGTGCTAGCCTTGAGCTCAGGGACAGCACCCACACCGAGAGTTCAAGCCCCACAACCAGCAACAACAACGACAAAAGAAACTTTATTTGCTAAGTTAAAAGTGATTTTGAAGTCATTAAGCAAAGTTTCCTTAAATCATGTTAATGAAGTCATGTGAAAAACGTTTTATGACTAAATATTGAGCAAAACTATTCATTTTTAAAGAATCTTAAGGGATTATATAGCATGAAGACAATGAACTGAAATAATTTATGATGTCATTTTTTCTTTATTCTTTTGGAAAGCTGCCTGTTTAGATTCACAATTGTAAATATTGGTTCTAAACTATTTAACTTAAACAAAATCAAAATTAATGGTTATTTTCTATTTATAGTAATAAAATACTTCCTTACTTCCAGAATCAGATAGTAATTCAGAATCAGATACAGAAGGATCAGAAGAAGGAGATGATGATGATAAAGACCAAGATGAGTCAGATAGTGATACTGAAGGAGAAAAATCATCAATGAAACTGAATCAAACAACTTCCTCTGCCAAAAGCCCTTCTGTTAGTCTCCCAGCTCACTCCACACCTCGAAACCTCCACATAGGAAAAACTCCAAGCTCTGCCCCTGCTGCCTTATGTTCTGAATCTCAGTCACCCCCGGCTTTTCTTGGCACATCTTCTTCCACACTTACTTCCAGTCCACATTCAGGTACCTACAGTTTTTATTAATGTAAAGTAGAAGTCAGTCTATATCAAGACTACAGTGTTCTAGAAATGATCTCATTGGAATCAACCTGGGTTGAAGGCTGCCTAAGAAAAGTCAGTATGAATTTTCAAAGGACACAACCCATTTCCCCATCTTGTCAAATTTTTTTTCTGTGCTTTTGATTTCAAATATTTAGTTGGTAACAGTACTTCACCTTGAACTCTTTATTTTATGTTGAGTTCATGCTTTTAATGAATAGAATTGACAAAGGTTTCTTTGTGCTTTATAAAAAGATCACTTGGGCTGTTAAATATCTACCTAACATATAGTCAGTGTATTTCTATTAGTAACATTCTTGTTCCATTGCTAACGGGCTGTGTCTTTTTTATTTTACTTTATATAGAGGTGTATATTAAAAGTTTCTTTTAACATTCTAAAACTCTTCTCTTTCTCAATCAGTAACTAAAAATAAAATCATATATATAGTAAAAATTTTATGATTTATTCTTCTGGCAATTTATAGATTTGGTTTAATTTACCACAACTAGTTGTATCCTTCTAAGTTAAGATTAATTTGTTTGTTCTTGTGAAAATTACTTTCTTCTATGAAAAAAATTACAAATAATTATAACCCTATTTCTTTGTGATTTTGAGTTTGTGTTTATGGCTCAAGTATATAGAGTACCCACCTAAGTTCAAACTCCATTAACTGCCAAAAAAAAGATTTAGTACTCTTTTTAACCGTGAATGTATTTATGTACAAAGAAATTAAACTGTCTTAAAATGTATAAATTAAACTGTCTTTAAATGTATGAGCTAGAGATTGAAATTTTTTTCTTCTGAAATCCATATATTTTTAATTAAAACAACTGTAAATAGGTTTTCTAAACTCGCTATCCCCCTTTCTTGTTAGCAATTTCATTCATAACAAAATGAGGGGAAAGCTACATATTCTACTTTACATTGTATTTCCTTTAGGAGGGAAGACTAGTGATTTTGTCATTTAGACCAAAAGAAAACAGAATCCTCTGCCTTACACAGCATTTTGTAGAAAACACCTAAAAACAATATATTTCAGAAATAATGCCAATAATCCATATCCTTAAAATAAATTTTTTAAAGGAAAGTTTCTCAACTATGAGATAGTCAATATAACCTATCAAACTAACTAGTTCAATTTTCTTAAAGGCACTTCCAAAAGAAGAAGAGTAACAGATGAACGTGAACTTCGTATTCCTTTGGAATATGGGTATGCTAAATAAGTTTATTTATTTTTACTCCGTATATTTATGCATGTCTGCTTAATTTCTCATTCTCTACTATTAATAAAATAAGCCAATGTACTACAGAATATTATTTACCACAATAATGCCAGAACAAAGGGCAAAGTAGTTGATTTATCAGAAAACTGAAATTAAACCCAAAATGTGAGGAGGTGTGGCTGACCTGGGAAGGGCTCAGGTAGCCTAGGGGGGTTAGAACAGAAAAGTAACCAAGAGCAAGGTATATGGCAAACAGAATTAACAGACAGGAGAAGATGCTTTGGTTAGAACTGAGGGACTCACTCAAAGATGGATTAAAATGGTTTAGTTGGAACTAATAACTTTCAGCCTGGATGTACTTGATGTTCAAATGCAAGAGAGCTTTAATAACTTTTCTCACTTAAAACTTTACATATGAACTTCATGTTCATGACATTACTAAAATGTTTTAAGTATTCAAAGTAAATCATTATAATTTCAAAAAAGCTTAATAGAGATTTTTGTTTATAAGTTAATTGATTTTGTAGATGAATTATCTAAAACTGTCATTTTAGAAGTGAATATAATTAGGTTATATGATTAGAACTTTGTTTTTTGTGTTATGTGAAGAACATGTGTACTGTATTTTTTTCTAAATTCAAAAAACTTGAAATTATATCATAACCCTCCTTTCTATTATATGTAGCTGGCAGAGAGAGACAAGAGTAAGAAACTTTGGTGGGCGCCTTCAAGGAGAAGTAGCATATTATGCTCCATGTGGAAAGAAACTTAGGCAGTACCCTGATGTAATAAAGGTACATACTTTTCACCAACTATTATACGTTAGAGCCTATCAAGTTTCTTCATATAAAGAAATAGTGCACTTCTTTCTCAGATAAAGTTTCTTGATGCAAAACGTTCTGTCTGTGGATCTAATGTACTTAAACTAAATTGATCTCCTGTAAATCCATAACTTCTTTATAGACTATGCAAAACATTAGTGAAGCTAATTAGTGAAGCTAGATTTACATCAAAGCGGGGTTGTAATTATTAAAACCTGAAGTGGAAAAATATGTGATTTTTTCAGTATCTCATCAGAAATGGAATAATGGATATCTCAAGGGACAATTTCAGCTTCAGTCCAAAAATAAGAGTGGGTGACTTCTATGAAGCCAGAGATGGACCACAGGTATCCACTTTTTAAAAAGTATAGTCTTTGAACCAAAAAATAGTACCATAACCTAAATGAAGTAAATTTCATTCCAAACTACAGTAATGCTGTTCCATAGTTAATTTGTTATATACATATATATATATAAAACTGTGTGATAAACACTCACTAAGGCCTCAACTAATTTACTATGTTTTAGTAACAAGGAGCTTGGACATAATAGATATTTTTCTATTTAAATAATTTTTCTTACTAATTCAATCAATAATCTTACCATTTGTACAGGTATAAAAATATCAACAAGTTAATATGAAATATAGGAAAAAACATTAGTTCCCTGGAAAGTAAAACTTTTTTTTAATAGGAAAACAGTGTTACTGTAAAATCACTCCAAAAGATGATAAATATGCTTCAGTGTTTTTTGGAAGGATCTTGTCCTTCCAAAAATATGATATATTTTTACAAGTTTTGTAATTTGGGAGCTGGAGATCTTTCAAATTCAATGAGTGAAATTTCTGGGGTTTGCAGGATTTGTTTTTCTTTTACTATATTTTTGGTACTAGAGACTGAACTCTGTTAGAGCCTCATGATTCATAGGTAAGTGCTCTACCAACCTGAGCCAGGCTCCCACCCCTTTTGCTTTTAAATTATTATTTCAGATAGAGTCTCATGCTTTTACCAGGCTAGACTCAAATTGTAATGTACCTGTATACATGTCTTAAGTATGTGCCACTCTACCTAGCTTGTTTCTGAAATGGGGCTTACTGACTTTTGCCTGAGGATACCTCAAACTGTGATCCTCTCCACTCTGCCTACCTAGTAGTTAAAATTACAGTTACACACCATCACACCCAGCACAACAGTTCCTTTTTGAGTTTGAGTTAAGTATACAATCTCACCAATTAGTGCAAAGAACCTTCCAAGAAGACCTCATTTCCTTTATGTTCTCTTTAATGTTTTCCTTTAGCACCTTACTGCATTCATCTGTAAAAGCTTACGTTCCTTTGCCTTTATCAGTCCATTAAAGGAGTTTCTGGCTTACAGAGCTATACAATCTAGATTCTTGTTAATTCATGAAATACTTTTGTGACTCCAAGTAAAAACAAAACAGTGCCCATAGACAATAACTATATTTCTACCTCATGGGATTATGGCAAAGATAAAATGAGACTATACGTACAAAACATCTATAAAGTGCTTAAGTAGCTGAAGTTGATCATTGCTCTGACTGAACTTTTGGCTTATAAGACAAACTGGCAGCTATATTTTTCTAGGTAAATAGTCAGGATTTTCCATCCCATCTGACCCTCAAACTTTATAATGATAAGAAGTAGAAAAAAGTCTATCAACCCTAGAAAATGTTTATTTTTTGAGAGCTCTAACAATTAAAGGAATTTTAATATACTTGAGCTCAGGGTTTTGACAAAGTGTTCTTTCATCTAGACCATATTTTCTATCATTGTCCTTTGTAAGGACTATTATGTCTAGAAACTTTTTCTTTGTGTAGCTCTAAAAATACCACCACCTGAGGTTTTTCTTTGTAGGGGTGCTTTATGGCTTTTTTCTATTTCTTTTTTTTGGGGGGGGATCTGGTCGTGGGGCCTGAACTCTGGGCCTGGGCGCTGTCCCTCAGCTCTTCAGCTCAAGGCTAACGCTCTACCACTTGAGCCACAGGGCCACTTCTGGCTTTTTTCTTTTTTGCTTATGTGGTGCTGAAGAATCGAACCCAGGGCCTCATGCATGCAAGGCAAGCGCTCTACCACTGAGCCACCTTCCCAACCCCTCTATTTCTTTTTTAAGTTTGCATTTTAGACCAAACTTGTCACTAGTTTCTTAGAATTTTAGTGAAATTTAGTGTTACTTCACATATTGTATATATATATATATATATACACACACATACTGTATCTATTTTTCAGACCGAAAACATATTAGAAGAGAATATTTTTAAAATTCCTATTTTTAATCTTTGGAACATGTTATCAGCTTCTTACTTATGCACCAAGAATCATTATATCCTTAAATTCAAGAGATTTTATTCTGAGAGAGAAGTTAATTGCTATTTAATAAATAAAGAATTTTTAGTTTGGTGTTAATGATAATTAGACTTAATCTATAAACCTCATTACACAAAGCAGATTGTTCTTTTGACATTCATTCTCTTTTTATTAAACATAATCAATGTTTTTCAAATGTATATAATCTTGCTAAAATCAATTCCAATCAAGAAAGTGAATGACTAAAGCCATGATATGATAGGCTGCCAATATTTCAGCAGAGTATAAGGGGAAAACATTAGCAATTCTGAGAAAAACTTAGTAAGCTGTGTTCAGTTTAGGATACTTTTAGAGAACATAAAGGTAAGTAATTTCATGCTTTAATTCATAAATTCATATATTTCTATATATTGTTTTATTTATGTCTAAAAGTGTATATTAGAAATCTTACAGTTATGTAATAATTTTTATTAAAATTTGCAAAGATTATATATTTTTCTGTTTTACTATGATGTGAATTCTATCAGCCTAAATATTGAAGGTATAAAATAAAGTAAGGCACAAAGGCAGTATTGCCATGCAGTAATAACTATCTATGCTTATAGTATTTATACCAAAAATAACCTTTAATCTATTTATTATTAGTTTTGTTATTTCTCTCCACAAATATGCTAAGTGATTTGTAAATCAGCCATCATCATTCTCTACTATGTTTACATATCAAGCACTTTTTACCATCTTCTATAAAACCATTCATTTAAGGATAATACACTGTGTGAGATGAAAGTTGAGTTGGATAGGCATTGATAACAGGTTTTTGTTTCCTGTGACACTAACATTATTACATTTTTTGGAATATAGGAGGGTTTCACAGTAAATCATTAATGATAAAGATTATTTTGAAATGTATAGCTATCTATCATAGGATATATTTTTGTGAATTATAAAAATGATTTGAAGGTAAATATTACCATTAATTTCACTTTTTTAGCCAGTAAGTTCAGATGCATTTATTGAATGGCTACTCAACTCAGTTCTGAAAAGCAAGAAGATAAACTTAAGAAATAAGTTAAAATTGACTCAAAGTATTGTCTTCTCTTTTTACTTCACATGTAATTTTAAGTATTCTTTTCAGTGACATAATGCAGTAAGCAAAGTAAAATATCTGTAGATCTTTGAAAACCCCTTTTTTCAGGTCACTTAATCAATACATACTTACAACAAAATAGTTTACATCCCACAAATAAAATTCCTACAAATAACATTTCCCAAATGGCATTTTTGCATTAAAGAAATTGTGAGCATACCTCTCACTGAAGAAGTTGAAAGTCCAAATCTAAGGAAAAGCCAGTGTTCATATGGAAACTGAATAGTACTAAAAAATAGAATTTATGATCACTGGTTTAAAGAAGTTTGTAGTCTAGTAAAGTTAATACTAGGAATGATGAGGCCCACCTATAATTAGGTTTGTTAATAAAAAGTAAGAGAAGTCTTCATAGAAACTTAGGCAATACACAAACACTGGTATAATTGTGATACTAGTAATTTTAAATTAAGAACAAAAGATTGGCAATCAACAACCAGAGTTCTAATTCAACTCTGCTGTTAACTGTCACACCTAGTGCAAGATAGCTGGGGGCACATATGGACACTGAGAACATGAAAGATCAGTACCAGAAGTCTAAAAATCTGGAAACTTGTGTCAGTGATTTACCAGGTAGGTTATTTGTGACTAGGCAAGGCCTGTGCTGGGAGGCCAACTATACAAGCCCAAGTGTGGTGCTAAAAAACTATTGAAAGTCATGAGTCTTAGGGGACATCCTACTGTGAGTGACTTAGAAAGCTTAATATGCAGTATGGAAATAATTGTGTCAAACCACCCCCTTTCTGGACTATTTTAATTAGATGACAGCAGAGAAAATTTTTCTTCCTCTCTTCAAATCTTTAAAAGTACTATTCAAGGACTCGAGCTCAACATTTCTCTGAACAACCTACACTTCTTTCTTTCTCTGTTAAACTCCTTGCTTTGTCAGTTTAAAAAAAAGTGCTATTCAAAAAAGTATATGGTATTAATAAACTATTTGATAAGGTAGGCTAAGAATCTGTGAAGTAATTAAAATGTATATATCAAGATTTACTACTTGCTTCTTGAAGCATTAAGTAAATTAAAATGGAAATAATACTACAAAATATCATGAAATAGGTATAAGGAAGCCCAAAAAAATTGTTCCTTCTCAAATTTATTTTAATCATCCTTTAAAGTCCAGTATGTCAAATTCTTTTTTTCGGTCTTTAAAAATTTTTTTTTCAGAGTGATGTACAGAGGAGTTAAAGTTACATAAGTCAGATGAGTATATTTCTTTTTGAACAATGTCACCTCTTTTCTCGTTTTTCTCCCAATATTTCCCCTCCTGACTCCCCCTCCCCTGCAAGTTGTATAGTTCATTTTCAATATATTGTTTCATGAATATCACTGCTGCATTTGTTCACCCTTTGTCCTACCATTTCTTTGCTCTCCCCTTACCCTCTGCAAAACAGATAAATTTATATACAAGCCAAAAAGTACAGGAAAAAGCCACATAAGGGGGGAAAATGTAAAATAACAAACAGACCTAATGTTTTATTTCTTGGAATTCATTTCAATAAA